TGGTGATGATGGCGGTGATGGTGATGATGGTGGTGGTGGTGGTGGTGGTGATGGTGATGGGTAGTGATGGTGGGATGATGATGGTGGTGATGAAGTCAGTAATGGTGGTGGTGATGGTGTTGCCACTGTGGCTATTTTTGCCCAGGTCCTTTGTGGTCATCACAGTATAGATCTGTGCTCATTGTCAATGGAGAAAGTTACGCTTTGGTGTTCAGAGCCACCATCACTGTTTATATTAACTTAAAGCAGACATAGGCCATTCTGTGTTTGCTGTCCTTTCAAAGAAGTGCCCAAGTCCAAAGATGCAGTTCCCTATTGTCTTTCTTAAATAAGTCACACCAAAGGGTGTAGCCTATACGATTATTTCACATTTCTCTTTTCTTTAGTTGAGCAACAATTAAGATGGCCGCAAAGCTGTTTGGGGGAGAGCTCTTCAGACAGACTTGTGCAGTGTCCCTGATCTCGTGGAGTCTCTCCACAGCAATTCCCTTTTGTGGCAGCTCCTCTGCCCGTGCCTTCCCCTTGCTTGCTTCTCTGTCTGTGCTGTGCTCTGTTGTCTTATGTGTGACATAATTAAGTGGTAACAGTGACAAGGACAGCACCGTGAGTAGGGCTGTGGGTGATGGATACTGCTCACTCTGGGCCAGGACGCACTGAGCTGGTGGGAGGGCCGTGTGGGTATGCACGCATGAGTCAGGTATGGACGTCATGTCCCGGAGCACTGGTCCGCACAGCTGTGGGAAGGAGGGTGGGGGCTGGGCGTCCCTGGCTCCACACGGGGAAGGAGGGCGGGCGGGCGCTGGGCGTCCCTGGCTCCACACTGACAAGTGAAGGTGCTGCGCATGTGTCCAACTGAAGGGTAAGATGTTCAGCGTGCAGTGTCTCACGTTAGGAATCTCTAGCGGCAGCCTTACTACCTGGTGTCCTCCCTCCCTCTGCTGTTCCTTGGAAATAACAGAATAGTTGCTGTGTTCTCACGTGCCACGCACAGAAAAGGGAAGAAACAGTGTCCACCCTTGCAGGGGCATGAGATGGTACAAGGGCGGTGCAAGAAGGCACCAGCCATGAGAGCACCACAGGGTCTTGAATTAAGGGGATGAAAGGCCGGGAGGTGTGAGCCCAGACAGGAGTCTGGAGGCAGCATTTCCCGGTCAGTTCTGAGCAGAAGAGAGTGGGAAGCGCGGGAGAGCCACACCGGAAGCTAGGAGTTGGTGATGCATCTGTGTGGTGTCTGGGTTCCCCACCTGTGTCAGAGGATGGCCATTGGTGGGCACAGCACCATCCCCAGCTCACTGACCGTGCTTCTCATAGGTGCTTGCGGTGAGGATCGACGACCTGGACCACCTCCCAGAGACCACCACCATCGACGCCTCCTCCATCGGCATTGTCCAGGTGAGCAGCACAGGGCACAGGTGCGGGAAGCTTCTAGATGAGCAGGTGACTGCAGAGTGAGGCCCAGTGGGCTTGGCCAGGCTGTGTGGGAGCAGCCCTTGGATAAGCCCTGAGGTCTGTGGCTCGTGTTTCATGGTCACGTTTCGTTCTCTAGTTTTTGGTTAATCTTTCTCCCCAGAAGCTTTTAGAAGCTCTCCTAGTTTGTGTAAAATTGCTGTAAAGTTTCTGTAACTTCAGTTTTTTGAATACTGGTATATCTCATCTGGAGAATAGATGGTTTCTAGAAAAGATTAGCATAATTATTTTATGCAAAATAAGTTTGAACATTTATTTATTAGATGAATTTTTAAAGGAATTTTTAGTTAATATTTTCATTAAAAATTTTATTGCAAAAAAAAGTCATGTTCTCAGTTATTCAGGGCTGCACTTCAACAGCTATGTTTGGAAATGGAGTTTTTTGTTTTTTGGGTTTTTTTTGCAAGAGAGTCTCACTATGTTGCCCTTGCTAGAGTGCTGTGACATCATAGCTTATAGCAACCTCAAACTCTTGGGTTTAAGCAATTCTCTTGCCTCAGTTTCCCAAGTAGCTGGGACTACAGGCACCACCACAGTGCCCAGCTATTTTTTGGTTGTAGTTGGCCTGGGCTGGATTTGAACCTGCCAGCTCTGGTGTATGTGGCTGGTGCCCTAGACGCTGAGCTATAGACGCCAAGCCTGGACATGGAGCTTTTGAGTGCAGTGTTTATTGAGGTGGCTGTGTCATGCTAAGAGAGCGTGGGGAGGTCCAGCCCCAGGAGCCATTTCTGCTTCTTGGAATGTCCTACTGGAAGGTCTTAGGCAGAGGTCAGAGGGAAGCCCCACATGACCACACCTGGCCGGCTTCCACTAGGTCTATCTGCTACTAGGTTGGACCAAAGATGGGATGGCCCAGGAACCAAAAGAGGAGTGGAGGTGACCGGAGTAGAGAAGATTGCCACCCACCACTGCCTCTGTGTGCTGGCCTGAGTCAGAAGACCTGGCTGTGGCCTGGTGGTGCCCTCACCACTTACACAGAAGTGTGTGGGGTGGAGGAGCTGTCTGGGATAGCCATCATGTGGGGCCCTCTGTATTTTGCCATCCCAGAAGATGTGCATATGGTTTTGTGGTCAAACCCATTTTAATCATAATGTATTTTCTACAACAAATTTGTTTTAGCCTTGGGGAAGAGAACCTTGATTTGACAGCATTCTCATCCTTGATCTGAGCTCAACAGGGCTGAAACATTTCCTTTTACCCAGTGGCTTAAAAATTAGTTTTTAAAAAAAGTTTACATTTTAGTACAAAACATGGTTTTTCAAAATATGAATTCTGTGTAATATACTTTAAAAAAAAGAAAGCAAAGGAACTTGGCTCGATCCCTAGAAATGCAAGTTTGATGACTTGTTGTTGTTTTCCTGTGACTGCTCAGTGGCCCCGAGCCTTTCCCCAACCCCAGTGCTGGGGCTGCCCTGGCCACTGTGGGATGCAGCCCTCTGACTGATCACTGGCTGAACTGATTTTCCTGCAGCCAGAGCTAACTCTGGAGCAGGAGGACCTGGCCGAAGGGAAGCACATGAAAGCTGCCAAGCGGAGTCACAAGAGAAAGCAGAAGCCTGGAGAGGAGGCAGGGGCTCCGGGACCCCAGGAGGCTCCCTTCAGCGAGTACGCTGAGAAGGAGACAGAATTCACGGGCAGCGTGGGCGATGAGACCAACTCCGCGGTGCAGAGCATTCAGCAGGTGGGCTTGCACTTGATGTTCGCATTACGGCCAGTGGCTTTTATAGGACACAGCGTTCCCTAAGCGTGGGAGTCTGCTTGCATGTCTCTGGACCCTTTCTTAATATGCACCACGCATGGAGTAGACTTGGCATGGTGGAAGGCAGCGGGGGCGTCCCATTTTTCACGTAAGCATCATCTCTTGTAAGCACTCTGAGTTTGGCTTGCAGATCACTTGCCGTGTGATAGCAACGTGGAGCTCTAGCATGTGGAATAGAGAAGTCTCCCGCTGGCTGGGAATTAGGTGGTCGGTTTCACTTTTTGCAGATGGCAGGTGCCTACTTCAGTGCCTCTTTGCAGAAGTGCAGCCCTTTGCATTTGCTGACCAGCTGCAGGGAATAGCACCTGACAGGCCAGAGGATTTCTTCCAAGAGGGCTGGAGGGTGAAGGCAAGGAAGGGCACTGCCCGCGGACCCCAATTCCTTTAGTGCATTTCATCCAACCTCTATCATTTTTACTTTTGAAGCCCCCAAGTCTGTCCAGTGTGCGTCTGATCCTGTACACCTCTCCCTTGTTTTTGGAGAGGTTAATCCCGATTGCAAGAAGTCTTACATTTATTTGGCCTTTCATTACTCTCCGTGAGAAGAATTCTGGTTTCTTTCTTAATAGCTATTAGTACTGCAAATATTTTTATCACCTTTTTTATAATAGCTTCAAAGTTGGGATTTTCATTTACCAACAGCAAAGTTATTTATAGAAAAGAAAAGAAGAATCACTTTTTGCCTCTTTCATTCTTGCTTTTCTCTATTTTTCTTTTCTAGCAAGTGAAATTTATTAGTTTCCCAGTTCTGTCTTACTGCCTCTGGAATTCTGTCTGGATCTGGTTCTCTTTTTCACTGGAATTACTTTTCTAGAACAAAGTTAACTTGGTTTCCTTTTTCACGCAAGCTCACTGGCTTCACCTCCTTTGGGCCAGGCGTGTGCCTACTCCAGCAGAGCACCGCAGAGTGCTCCCTGGGGGGTGGTTTTATCCTGCACTCTGCAGAAATGATGAACTGTCTTTTGTCATGTGTGACTATTCTAGGTGGTGGTGACCCTGGGTGACCCCAATGTGACTGCCCCATCGAGCTCAGTTGGCCTGACCAACATCACAGTGACTCCCATCACCACTACAGCTGGGACTCAGTTTACCAATCTGCAGCCAGTTGCCGTGGGTCACCTTACCACCCCCGAGCGCCAGTTACAATTGGACAATTCCATCCTGACTGTGACCTTTGACACCGTCAGTGGCTCCGCCATGCTGCACAACCGCCAGAACGATGTCCAGATCCACCCCCAGCCAGAAGCCTCCAACCCACAGTCTGTGGCGCACTTCATCAACCTGACCACCCTGGTCAACTCCATCACACCACTGGGAAGCCAACTCAGTGACCAGCACCCGCTCACGTGGCGGGCGGTGCCCCAGACAGATGTGCTGCCACCACCCCAGCCACAGACCCCTGCTCAGCAGCCAGCTGCACCCCAGGTGCCCGCAGAGCCCCAGCCACAAATGTATAGCTACTGAGCCACAGGCGACGCAGGTGACCCCAGAAAGGGGTCTTGGGGTTGTTAAATTTGTTTGCTGGATACCAAACAACAAAAAAGTCATACATTGCAATATAAGGAAGGTTGACTTAGCTTTTACAGAATTGTCTCCAAATCCCTCCAGCAACCATTATGGCCTGTCAACCTAACTTGAGAAGTAACCCAGTGGGCAAGAGTTCCAGAAAGGGTCAGGCTTTCACCACGCCTGGGCAGCATAGAGCATCTGGGCTGGGCTGCACCCACCTGCCCCACCAGGCTTCTGTGTCAGCAGCTTTAGGAACATGAAGCTTAGAAGAAGGATCCCAAGAGGCACGTGGTCAGTTACGAGGAGGGTATTTGGCTCCCCTCTTTCCTGCTAGAGCTCAGTCACTGTAGTAAGCACAGGCACTGTTCATAGGCAGCACACTGTGGGGACACCATCCTTCCACTTTGGGATTGTTTGGGCAGGTGAGGCAGGTAAAAGTTTGAGTAACATTTATTATCTTCTTTGAAATGTGAGTTGAGTGGCTCAGTCACTCACGCAGTGTTGGACTGAAGGGGGGTGTGAGATGTGCCGTGGCAGCACAGAGCCTCCAGCCTTCAAGTTCAGCCCAGGTCAGGTGAGGTCGCTGACTGGCATTGGAGCATCTTAGTAGTATCCATGAATTGGTTTTTAGTGTAGTTTTTTTTTTTTTTTAAATATTCTTTACTTTATCTCAAACATACATTATATATTCAAGACTGTGTTGTGGCCAATTTTTTTTTAATTTTATTTTGACACGAGTCGTTTGCACTGTAGGACTATGGGTCTGTGTCCAGTTCTGCACGGCTGTCCCCTTGGGGAGACGCATGCAGGTGTGTACAGGCCACGAGCCCTCATGCCGTCACCGTGGCGGCTTTGGAGTTGTCTCAGGACTCTGCCATCTACACGTGTTCATTCTGGTGCGCTCAGCCAGAGTCTCCTGTGTGGTAGGGTACGAAAACACTCACGTTTTCTATCTGTTTTAACTTTAATTCCAAAGATTAATATGTTTCCAGATGAATTTCCTCAAAAAATGTTGTTTGGCTTTTGCAGTGGAAAAGTACAGGTATCTATGAAATACGAAGAAGTTCCCAAGTCCTGCCAGATGGGAAAGCAGAGGAGGGTGTCCAGGCAGGGAAGTGTTAATTGCCCGTAATAGTGAAAGTGCTGATTAGCAGCCAGCTCTGCCTGTGCGGGGCACGTGCTGTCATGGATGTGTACAGTTCAGGGACGTATCCCAGGCTCTCAGATGAAGAGGCCCCCACCACCAGCAGCACCTTTGTTGCACCCAGAGCCCTGGAGGAAGTTCGATTCTTTATCTCCTAATATTTGTTTAACACTCTCCAAAATGAGATGATAAACTTGCCTAATTTTGCCCTTGGTCACTACTGGTCCTGATCTTGTGTTCTCCAGGAGATTGTTGTGAAGAAACACTGTCACTGGGTGAGTGATTGACAGATGCGGCCAGAGTGACCCTGACGTTGCTAGCAAACAAAGGACGGTTTGTGTCACACAAAATGCAATTTTCTCAGCGCTTAACTCCATTCCAGACAGCCAGCTTTCGAGGTCAGGGCTAGATTTGTTTTGTGCAATACCTGCCTTTGTAACTAGGGAAAGCCCGGGCCAGGCTGCAGCCCAGGCCGGTCCTGCACACACTCACTCACCTCCCTGCACTCCTGCTCTCACCTCTCAGTTGATTAATAGTGGGAGATCGTTTTACTTTTTAATTTATGATAATTATTTTTATGTTATTTATGTGTGTGATTAACTGCTTTATACATAGCAGTTTTATCAAATGAACTTGAGCTCGGGGTGATGTATTCTCTAAAATATTGTCTTCATTCTCCAAATGTGAGTGGTCCACTCATCCATGGGATCAACCTGAGAGCCAGGGTTCTTAAGATATTTTTTTAAAAATCAGTGACAATTTCTTTTTGCCTTTGAAGAATCTAAAGGGCAATGACAAAGCAAAGAATCCAATAGGTGTTGGGCTCGCGATTAAACGTCCACTAGCATTTACCGTTTATTCCTCTTCCCTGTGATAAAAGGCCTTTGAAATCACAATTTTATTTTTTTAAAGAAGTTCTTTTAGTGCCTAGAGCAAGACTGCATCAAATGTTTTTAAAGAGCCTGATTTAGAGTGTGTGGCCCTCGTGTATCGCCACTATTTCTTTAAATACCAGATGCATCATACTTCTTGTTATAATAAGGGAGAACTCTAAATAAAAATCACACTTCTGAGTTTTTTGGAAAAGTTTCTGGAAATGTATGTGGTCTTACTGGGGTCACTGCCTGAGGGGAAGTATGTTGTGGAGGGCAGAGGCTGTGAATTTGCATATTCATGTAGGGCAGTCTCCGTGAATTTGCTTATTCATAACTGGGTAGCAGAAAAGGAGAAGTACTACTCAGCCAAGTCTTCAGCTGTACACTGTTCTGCATATTTATCATTGTTTATTGACAAAGTATTTAATTTTTTAACTGATACACGGTGCACAGATGTATCCATTAAGGACAAAATTAGATCAGGCCATGGTGGCCTCTGAGCTCTGTGAATCCATCTCAGTTGTTATAAATTAATAAATTATGAGAATTTATTTTCGACTTGTGAATCGGTGCTGCTGTGTGGTGACACGTCCTATGCTGGTGCGACTGTGGCAGGGAGACTCCAGGTGTGGCCGCTCCCCCTGACACGCCTGCTCCGTTGAGAGGGGTCTGGGCCTGCAGAATGGCTGTAGCACACGGTGTGTTCTCAGGAAATGGTTCTGTGCCAAGTCCTCCCCGCCAAGCCTGACATGAAGCAGTTCTGGAACATTCCAGGCATGATTTTTCTGTTGACGGCATCCAAGGCAGAAGGCTCATGCTTCCCACCTGGGTGTCTGTCTCTGACTTTGTCACTGGCCTGTGAAAGGCAGTGAAGGCTGTTCTGAGACAGAGGTATTTCGTATCAGTTTGTATAATGGTGAATAAACGGAACTGTGACCTGTGTTTCTCAATTGCTGGCTTCTGCTCCATCCGCCCATTGTTGTCACACTGGGTGTATTTCGATGTGTTGTCAGCTACATCTCGATTTCTCTCCAGTGCAGAACCTCTGAAATGTTTGGATTATTTGCAATATTCCTGAGAGACTGAGGCATCGGAAACTTTCTCAGAGCTCAAAGAAAGCATATGTAGCATTTCTTGTAAAGTTTAGATCTAGAGAGAACTGGCGCCAAAAAAGATGTGGTCGGAGAGAGGGGAACACTTAACAGGTATTTCTTCAAGATGTGAGCTGTGAAACCACGTCTCGGATATTTTAGTCACAATTCAGGCAGCATCTGGCAGCAGCTGACTCTGTCAGAAAGTAGGTTCGTTTGTTAAGCTTTGAATGTTAGGAGCGCATCCTTTGTGTGCCAGACCTGTGCAAAGGCAGCCTTGTGGAAACGCCCCAAAGGAAGAAATGGTGGTGACTGTCGTTAACAGACACACTCCATTCTCAGTACCCCGTGTTTCTTTGCAGAATACAAATGACCACATCGCCATGAGTTTGGCTAACAGCCCTGTGATGAGAAACCAGGTCACGATCTGTGAGTATAGCCTTTTCCTGTGCATTGAAAACAAGTTCCTGTACAAGAGGGGAGGAGCCAGCCACTGGCTCCTTCCTCGTCATTTTTATGTCTGGCTCAAGTGTCAACTTCAAAGGGTTTGGGCGTGACAGGAACACGTGAGCTTGCGTGTGTGACCATGCAGTCAGAATTATAGGGCAGTGGGCTGGGCTGCCCACACAAGACTGGCCAGGCCTGTGACCCCGGCCCACCATCCCCAGGTGCAGGCAGCTGGCCTTGCCAGTGTCCTCAAACCTGGCTCCCCATGTGCAGACCACCTGCTTTCTCCCCACGGGCCTTCTCACCTGTGCCCTGTGAGGGTGAAGCCTGTGGGCAAGTTGCCCTTCGTTGGAATATGGTGCCACCCTGGTTTAGAGACACCTTAGGGAGAGGGAGGATGGAGACTGCAGGCTTGCCTGCTGCCCAGTGTACCCTGTCCCTCATATGTCCCTCACTTCCCCTGACCACTACTGTGTCGCTCTCCCCTCAGGGTCCACCACAGAACCTGCAGCAGGGAACGAGGGAGCGAGAGGCCCCGCCTCTGCGTGGTGGGGGTGACCTTGGGAGACCCAAAAGCTGTGCCATCTGTGCACCCGGAACGGTCCAGAAGAGGGGATGCTGCCTATAGTTAAGGGGGTCTTGTGTGTCCTTTGACATTTTTTCTTGAATTAAGGCCCTGGATTCCTCTCTGCCTGTTTGGCTGCAGGGGAGTGACAGGCTTTCTGCACATCCCACTAGAGTTCAACCTGTTCCCCGGCCCCTCCCTCAGCCAGCAGCCCTACCACCACCTGCTCACACACGCTCAGAGCCCAGGTCATCCTGGGCTTGTCCCTGCTTCCCATGTGACTTTGAAAGTGTCCTGGTTTTACTGCCTCCACTGCTTTGTAGCTGACACCCCAAGCAGCTGCCCAGCCTGCCCTCTGTCCCCTGGAGTCCATTCTCTCTTCCGAGGCCCTAGCGACCCTTGCAAAACTGTGTGTTCTCTTGGTCACCCACGCTCCAATCCCACTGTCCTCCACCAGATCCTGAGAGCTCTGTGAACACCTCCAGGTCCTATCAGAAGCTCCAAGATCTGCAGTGTCTGGCCTTGTTTCCCACTGGTCAGTCTCCTCTCTCACCAGGGACCCCACTCTCACTGGGGTCTCTGCATGTGCTGTCACACTGTGGTGGGTCTTAATGTGCAGTTCAATTCTCTGAGCATGTCTGCTTCTGACCACAATGGAGAGGGACTGGCCTTACTCTTATATTTGAAAGGGCACAAAGCATTGTTCCTCACGTCACTGTCATTGGGAGCAAAGGATAGTGCTTGAGAGGTGAGGAAAAGGTCAACCCTGAGATCGCCCACCTGGAGCCCAGCAGGGTCTGAACTGATGGGTCAAAGTCAAGGCCACTGGGGCTCTCAAGGAGAGCGTTGGCGAGGAGGGGGCTGTGCCTCTGCTGAGCCCTGCAGAGACCTCCCATTCCCACATGCACAGTGGGAGATGTCATAACTTAGGGAAATTTGGGCCAACAGTTCTCAGAAACATTTTGCCTAAACATGAGGGAAAATTAACTCTTAACTCAGGAAATTAGTTCTCGTCCTGAGAAAGCTTAAAAGCAAAATGTGAAACTCTTTCATGTCATAAAAGCTAGAAAGAAGATCCAGCACGTTAGAGGCATGGAAGATACATTAACAAAAAACAAAGCTAATTGAAATTTTAGAAATGAAAAATTGAGTGATGACTTGAAAAACAAACTAGATAGTATTAACAGCAGATCACACATCATAGAAGCAAAGATCAGTGAAGTGAGGGCAGTAAAAACTATCCAAAATGAGGGCAGCGCCTGTGGCCCAAAGGAGTAGGGCACTGGCCCCGTATGCTGGAGGTGGCGGGTTCAAATCCAGCCCTGGGCAAAATAAATAAATAAATAAATAAATAAAAACTATCCAAAATGAAATACACGGAAAAGAAGATGGGGCAAGGGGGGTCGGCAGGACCAGTGAGCAGGGAGACAACTTCAACTGCCACATACGTGTGTCAGCTTGGGAGAGGAGAAGAAACAAAAAAAT